CGGACGAGGGTGGGGTTCTCCTGCTCGTTGGACCAAGTGTATCGACGGCCGTGGAGGTAGATGTCACGAAGCTCAAGGTCGGCGATGAAGCGGCGAAAACGACTCATAGTTCGGTGGTTGAGCCTGTTGTTGTTCTTATCGGCAGCGGAGGTGATCATGTTGAAGTCTCCTCCAATGAGCCAAGGGCCGGCACATGTGTCGCGAAACTCGTGCAACTCGCCAAGAAAGGCGATTTTGTCATCATCGCCCTGCGGGCCGTAGACACCTGTAAGCCACTAGTGCTGATCCCCGACAAGTGGAGAGACGAGGGCAGAGACGTGATGGTCACCAATGGTAGGCCTGGAGAGTGAGATCATGTCGCAGTGCCAAGCAAGCAAGATGCCTCCGCGAGTGCCATCCGCGGGAAGGAAGTAGAAGTCGAGGAAGGGGCGCCCAGGGTTTCCAGCACCAGAGAGTCAGACATGCGAGCAAGTTTCGTTTCCTGGAGGCAGACGATGCAAGGGGCAGCGGAGGAAATAACGCTACAGACCGCAGAACGTTTAGCACTAGAGTTGAGGCCTCGGACATTCCAAAAATGATCTTAAGGTTTCCATCCATGGGAGGGTGGGGGGCGCTAGGCACAGGCGCAGAAGGCCAGGCCGATCAGATCTCCACGAGGCGGGGGCTTCCGGTGCGCTGCGGGGAAGAGCTGCATTCCGCAGGTGGAATGCGCCAACCGTAGAAGTCGGCAAAGGCATGGATGATATCGGCAGCCAGCGGGCGGTCGAACAAAGCAGCATACTTGGAGAGAGTGGCTTCGTCCATCGGGGCATCGTCCTTGAGCAGGCCTAGGCGCCGGAGAAGCACGCGCTTGGCCTTCATCTCGGAGTCCAAGCCCCGATCGGCCTTGGCGATTCGCCCGCTTCTCCTCGGAGTGAAGTTGGGTGGCACCTCATTGCGGCGTCGACGTGATGCAAGCGCGGGGAGAACGCGGTCGATCTGCATTTGCATGGTGCAGACGAAGGTGCGGAGATCAGGCGGTGCGGAGCCTGCATGGTGCAGCTGCATGGGTGGAACGGCCTCGGCCAATAGGGAGGCGCCAGGCGTGGCGCATGGAGCAGGCGTGGGCCTTGGATCTGCCTCGGGATCTCCGGTGGGGGTGGCGAATGAGGAGCCAGGGTCCGCCAACGAATCAGCCGCGGGATCAGTGCAGGCATGCATGAGATCTTCCACAGCAACGGGATCGGTGCGGGCATGCATGAGATCGTCCTCGGAAGGCGCGAGGATCAGGCGCGCAGGCGCGGCGGGCCCGGGCCCAGGCATCAGGGGGCCAGCATGCATGTTGCCGCCCCTGGCAGGGGAGGGTGACAGGTGCCGGTCGAGGGAGGATCGGGGCTGGTCTGGTGCGTGCCCGTTGTCCTAGAGCGGGTAGACGCGCTCGACAACAAGGCCGTTGGCGAAGGAATCACCGCTGGCGTCATGGGATCGCGGGCCTGGGCAGGCTGTCGGCGACTGCGGCTGAATAAAGACCGTCAAAGCGGTCGTAGTGGCGTCAGCAGCGGTGTCAAAAGCCTGGGCGGCGGCGCTTTCCAGAAGCGCAGGCTGACCAGGACTGGGCACAGCTGGGTCCCGCGCATCAGAGGGATCCGATGCGGGCGCGCGAGACGTCGCCAGAGCACACGCCGGAGAGGCCGGCAACGACGAAGGGGCGCCGAGGTGGAGCGTAGCGCGAACCCGGGGCGCGGCTGCAGCGGCCGTGGGGTACGGCCCCAGAATGCCTTGCCAGTCGTAACAAGGAGGGGGAGCATGCCTGCGCCGGCGCCGGCGGGGAGCGCTGCCTGAGGTCCGGAGGGAAGACGCACCGGGGGGATGCTCAGGAAACTCATGAATGCGCGGCCAGGGACCAGGAACAAGGGGTGAGCCAGGGGGGCGTCGCAGTCACCGGCCCCGTCGGCGGGCGACGGGGGAGGCAGCGGAGAGGGGCGGCGGTAGTCGACGCAGCTCCAGAAATGGATCTCGACGGGAAAACGCGTCAAACCAAGTGAGAGACGCTCCGCGGACGCAGGATCGGCATCCTCCTCGACGGCGTCGTGCTCCGGCATGAGGAGCTCCGAGGTGCGCGGGATGCCGTCCGGATTGGTGGTCCAGGCGGTCAGGCAAAAGACGGACATGTCAGATGCATTCCTAGTCTCCGGTGCCAGATTTTCCACCCGGCAGAATGGCGAGAGAAGGAACTCGGCAGAAGCCCGGTGCCAAGCATGGCCGGGGATTCCCTTGATCTCAACAGAGACGAGGAAATGCGCCTTCACCGGAACAGCGTCACGGAAGAGGCTCCAGGGGGTGAAGATCAGGCGGAAGTTGCCGGTGCGGAGGCCGCCAGCGGCAACACGTGCGTGCGAGGCGGCGGAGGAGAACTTGATGAGGAAATCGTCAGAGGCGTGGGTGTGGGCGGAGAACTCATGCGCAGCGAGGCCGTAGCGTGCGCGCAGCGCGTCGAAGACAGCCTCCCTGGACACACCAGAATGGCGTCCAGCGACCGTGGCGAGCAGCGCGCGCTCGAGATCCCGCTCTGCCGCAACAAGCTCCGCGGACCGAGGGAGGTAGCAGATGGCGCCGGCGGCGCGGCGCGCAGGGTGGCCGGAGAGTGGGGTGGACGCGGCAGAAGCGGAGGTCGCCGGCGAAGCAGGGGCGGGCTGCGACCCGGAGGACGCGGGTGCAGACCCACCAGAGCACGGCGACCCCGCGGCAGTCGACCCGGAGGACGCGGGACGATCACCAGGACTCGCGGCAGCAGGGCGCGAGCTGGATGGAGCGGAGCACTCGGGGGGCGAGTGGGGTGCCGGACCCCGAAGGGGAAACACGGCGACGGAGCGGGGGGGCGAGGCGCCATGGGATGAGGGGGAGGATGGTGCGGCGGCACGCGGCATGGTGCACTCGCGGACCTTGTGCCCGAAGCAGCGGCAGCGGCCGCAACGGATGTCCCGGCGGCACTCCGAGCGCGGGTGGCTGGTGCTGAAGCACCTAGGGCACTCCCCCTCCCGGAGCCACGACGGCGGTCGACGGGGCGCGTCGACAGGACCCCGGCAAGGGCGCCGCGGTCGGAGGGAGCGGGGGCGTTTGCGGCCACGCGCAAGGTGCCAGCCGTCGGGGCCATCCGCCTCCATGACCCGACAGATCTCAGAGCGCAGGGGGGGCGCGCAGGCGGCGGCGAGGGCTGCGAGCCGGCCGCCGTTGGGGAGGCAGGGGAGCAGCGGAGGGCCTCGAGGTAGGACGTCGGTCTTGCGTCGGCGGTCCCGGCAGAGGAGGGGCTCGAGTCGAGCCAGCGGTCAGAGCGCGAGCGGCCCTCGGCCGGAGGGAAGGGGGAGCGCATGGCTGGAGGTGGGCGGCGGGGCCGGAGTGGCCACCGACGCGGGGCGGTGGACGCCGGAGCCGGGTGGCTAGCGGCGGGAGCGGTGGCTAGCGGCGGGCTTAATTTCCTCTCACCAGCATACATGTTGTCAGATGGAACACTTCCCGAAGCGGCACTCTCATTTCTCCACTTAATAGATGTGGTGTGTCCTTCGGTTTTAGCTTCTCAGTGCTATAAGGTTTTGGCTCGAACGTATGGTTCATTGTCCTGTGCGTTGATGCTTCCCAGATACTCCGGTCGAGCTCTATGTGCTACCTTCAACCCTCCTTATGCACGGCCGATTGGATGGATTGACCAAGTGATGTTACTGGACTCTGGCGACTTTTGACATCCATGTAGTTCCTAACGCGAGCTTCGTCCTCATTTGTGCATGAAGAACCTACCTCTCGCCCTTTTTATTCTTAGAATTTGTTGTGGCCTGGGGCTAGCCATAGTGATGGTATCTTAGTCGGTATCATGCACTCAGGAATAGCAAAAATGCTGATGTTGCAGAGAATTAAAAAAAAGTTAGAGTAACATAGGTAGATATCGTATCATGTTAAATGATATGCTATTTTCTGTCATGCATGTCAATAAATATGATCATCTATGATACTAATATATGACATTGTGCATTATAAAAGTACTATTTTACACTAATATCATGTGCATGATACTAATATATGATACTCCCACGACGAGTAGCCTGATATGTTTGAGGGGGGAGGGGGAGGGGGAGGAAACAAGCATAATATGCCATGCCATCATGAAGATTATTTGTGCTATGAATGTTCGTTCCAAGATAAAATGCAATTAGTGAAATTAGTGTTGCTGCTAGAATAAAATACAGTTAATGTAATTAACCCCCTTTAGCGGAGGGAGTATATTTCAAAAAAAAGTTAATTACAATTAATGTAATTAACATTGTTTTTAATTTATCGCGATGTCATGGATACATCATTAGAATAAGAATGGCGTGGAGTGTTTAATTTTTTTTTTAAAAAAAAAGAGGATCGGTTGACTTTGACACACACCGACGCACGACCGCCGCGGGCCCTTAATTTGTCCCGGTCCGCCACCGTCCAAACCGCGAAGACGAAAACGACCCACACTATACCCGGACCAAATCTTGGTTTGCACCCACAAGCAACGAATCCTGAGTTCCTGACTGAACCCTTCCTTCCTGCACGACCCTGCACTGTCTCGTGAGTCGTGACGCCCACCCGCGCCGCACGCGGAGAATCCAACTCCTTCCTTCGCCCGGTTTCCTTCCGGTGTGCCGTCCCTTCTCCCGGCTCACGCGACGACCCTATCCCCCGGCGACACGCCGCGCCCGGGCTCCGCAGCGTCCCGTGCACCGGGTCTACACAGGGGCGGCACCCGCCGCGTCCCGTGCACCGGGTCTACACAGGGGCGGCACCCGCCGCGAAGCTTCCTCCTCTCATCAACTCTCCTCTCCCGAGTTGTCCAAAGCATAAAGAAGCTCGCCGTGTCGGCAAACCGGAGGTTGCGGCCACCCGACGACACACACCACCACCGACCAACGCAACGCAACAATCTCCAAACCCCAAACTGCACTCCACTCCACACACGCGCGCGCGCGCACGATCGTCTCGTCGACCAGCCAGACAAGATGCAGCAGGGGAGGAAGAGGAGCCGCCCGCGCATCGCCGGCGTCCGGCCGGGGCCCTCCTCCTCGCCGACGCGCCGGGGCGGGACCAGCGGCGGCGCAGGCGCCGGGCAGAGGCTCCGGCTGCCGGTGCAGCTGGCGCAGGGACCGCGGTCGCGGAGGCGGGCCGAGGGGAAGAGGGCGCTCACGCGCTCCGCCTCCGAGCCGGCGCTCTGGTGGCGCGACGACGCCCGCATCCACCCCGTGACCCATCCGCCGTCCCCGCCGCCGCCGCCGATCAACCGCCCGCACACCTGCTACGACGTCCTCGCGCCGGACTCCCCCTTCGCCTCCTCCTCCCTGCTGCTGCCGCCCGATCGTCGCACGCCCTGGGAGGTACGGTACGGTCCGTGAACTGAGGAGCGCGGCGCGCGCATTCGTTTTGGTTCGCGGAGTGAACTGGATGGGTTTTCTCTGTACGTAGGAGGCGAAGGTGGTGGTGAACGTGACGGTGGAGGGGAGCGCGGGGCCGGTGAGGGCGATGGTCAGCCTCGGCTCCAGCATCCGGGACGCCATCGCCGCGGTGGTGGAGAGGTACCACCGGGAGGGGAGGAGCCCCCGGCTGGACCCGGCCTCCGCCGAGTCCTTCCAGCTACATCACTCTCACTTCTCCCTCCAGAGTAAGCTAGCCATTCATCATTTTGACTTAATTTAATGAACGGAATATGCCATGCCAATTTGCCGATCAAATGGGGATTAGTCCAGTTTTCTGTTGCTAAAGATGTGGTTGTTTGATTCTGTTGTTTGTGAGACAAACCATTTTCAAGTTGTGTCACTGTCACAGCAAGTTCTGCACCATTCATGTGTTATGGGATGTTTGAATCATCCGTAATTCAGAATATGTCAAGAACTACTAATGATGTTTAGTAATTTTGTTAGTTAGTATGGGGTAAGTCTCTGACAAACCGTCTTTGTTCATGTGACATCTGGCTATTTGGTTTACTCATTTTTGTCTTGCCTGAAATTTGTTTCTCCCACCACTTCATTCTTTAAGGATTCAGCAATGTAATATAGACCAATCGTTACGGATTAGGATGTAGACAAACTTATTTGGTACTACTACTAGTTCTATGTAACGACTTTTTTTAGATCATGTATGCAAGGACTTCTAAAATTATTACTACTCTGAAAAGTGTATGAAGCGAGCTTCTTCAGGCTTCACCCAAAATTTGGTTGCTCAGCCCAAGGGACTAAAAGTTATGAAATCAGCATTTCAAAATTTTACTTCGATCGAGTGGGCAATTAACATCTTGAGTTTTTCTCTCTGACAGGTTTAAACAAGAACGACAAGATCGGCGAAGTGGGCGGCAGAAATTTCTACCTGCACAAAAGCGGCGGAACCAACGGGCTTGCGCTTCAGAGGGGAGAACCTGGTGTGCATTCAGGTGGCGGCGAGACTACACAGAGCCATGGAGGGCAGCTTGCCGGGGTCCCATACCACCATCACCTCCTCGCCATTGTCATGAAGAAGCTGGATAAAATCGGCAGGCGGACGAAGAGGCTTTGGAGGCTCCTCACCTGTGACTGCACATGACTGACCCTGTGGATGTTGATGGTAGCCTAACAGCCGTCGTATACTGTGACTGTCTGGTGTGGTAGGCTAGCACCAGCAAGTTAGGTTAGAATCGGTGCGCGGTGCCGGTGGTATTTGGTATTGATTGACGATAAAGAAGGCACGCGGCGCGGTAACGAAAGTTATCCTCGTGCTGATGTGTTGATAGATTCGGTTGATCAGGTTAGGGAGTAAGGTATATAGCGGGGTGCACGCTTTGCAGTCCACACACATCACTGATAAGCACTGGTGATTGTGTGGCTGCAAGTGCAAGGTAGACTCTCGACTAATATAAATCGATACAAATATATTTCCTGCCCGGAATTACTTGTCACGAAAATGAATAAAAATGGACGTAACTAAAATACATCCAGATACATTCATTTCTCTGCTAAGTATTTTGGACGGAGGTAGTGTTAGATTATTCACGACTCAAGGGTCAATGACAACGCAGGTTACGGGTCATGTTGAGGAGGAGAATTTTAGTTTATTTTCAAGATCAATGAGAAATTAAGCTAAACTGTAGGCAATAATCGGTCGAGGTTCGGTCGAGGTTCGAGCAATGGTTGTGTTGGACTGATGTGGAAACTAACCTATTAGGTAGGACTGCACATAATAAGAGTTGTTGCACCGTTGTTTTAGGACCTCTCGCGGTGCAATAAGTATCATGATAAGATTCTTCTTACTTGATTGTTGTCATGCTGATAGAGCCTAAGCTTATGCTGCCTCCGTCCGAAAAGTATGTCGCCGTGGCAATTTTCTGGAAACCCCCTCCTCAAATTGTGCGCCTCCGCCGCGTTGCTTCCCCTTCCACTGCCGCTTTGCTTCCCCGGGTGAGGAGAAGGCTCAATTTTTTTTTGATTTGCTCTCCGACTGATGTGTCCTTCCACGATGGTGGCGAACCGAAGCTGGCCCTGCCCGTCGTCAACCTCATCTACCTCGCCATCAACCTCGTTCACCTCGCTGTCAACCTCTTCCACGAAGCCGGTCCACACAGATCGACCAATGGGACCCATGAGGCCAGTGGCGAAGCCATGCATGAGCTGTGCAGTCAAATGACTACACAACTTTTTGGTAAGAACATCATACAATGAGTATATATCATGTAGAAAAATCATAAATACATACATATGACTATACAAGTTTGAATTGACTATACATGAATGAATTCCTGGCACCGCCACTGCATGAGGCTCATGGAGCTGTACGAGCCAGATCCCAGCGATCGCCTCACGTACCACAACGGCACCATGCTCAGCGGCAACATCCCCGTGTGCATCCTCTGGTATGTGCAATACCACATCAAGACTGGATTTTTGTATCCTGATGCTTTATAAAAAGCAGAGTAGATGCTCAATTTTTTGTATCCTGATGCTCAAGTTTTTGTAACCTGTAGATGCCATGCTCAATTTTTTGGTAAAGCTACTGGAGTTGCTAGCAAATTCTATTTTCATTCTTATTCTTACTGTCAAAATTCGGAGCAAATTCTAGTAATATTTGTACTGCTTGTGCTTGTGGTAATACTCCTAGCCGAATATTTGTACTGTACTGAAAACTTCACTAAAACTAAATTCAGTTAACTCCATAGACACCTGCTCTTTTTTGTTTAGAAGGGACCCCTATCTCCAATCTTTTAGGACAAAATACTCCTAACCGTAGTCCCTCAAATAACTCTGTTCTTCCTCCCCCAAGCCCCTTATTTTTTTTCAGATTCTTCTATGCTCAATGCAGAGATAAACACCCCTGTCTGTAATAACCTTGCAACACAGTCGTATGGGAATTTTCAGTAAAATCACTAATGGAGATAATGGATAATACTGAATTTCACAACCGTAAGACCAGGACTTGTCTGAATCCAAAAAAATTTAAAGCTTGAATATCAAATTGTTTTATTGTTAGAATTTCTAAATTCTAGACCACTGTGTTTAATCTGAATTTAATCTAGACTGTATTTAATCTGAATAATGCTGCAGGTACTCCAATTTTCTAGAGATTGCAGCCCATTTTGAGAGAGATTGCACTCCATTTTTGTAAAGATTGCAGTCCATTTTTGTAGAGATTGTACTCCATTTTTGTAAAGATTGCACTCCGTTTATGCTTAGTTCAGTTAACATGTTGATTTGTTGGAGTACTGATGGGTGACAAAACATGCAGAATGCAAACCTCTGTCAGACGATTAGAGGCAACTCTGGACCCTGTTTTTTTGTTTCATTGCCACCATTTTGATGCTGTTTGGATTAGTCAATAATCAACAAGATTTTGGCTATTGTAAATAACTCCCAGTGACAACAGTAATTCAGTAGTTTTCTCAAATTTTTGCAGTATGTAGACTCTATTTAGAAATTCAGAGATAATGAAAAGATGAAGCTGAGATTAATATAATACTCCATCGAACATGTACATTGACTCACATATACGTTGATTACAGTTCCAAGTTCCAACAGCCAACCAGACTATCTACTAAAAATTATTAAGGGAAAGCTTAACCAGAGTTTTATGTTTTGAATACATATTACTCCCTCTGTAAAAAAATATAAGAGCGTTTAGATCACTAAATATAAGAGCGTTTAGATCACTAAAGTAGTGATCTAAACGCTCTTATATTTCTTTATGGAGGGAGTATTCCATTATGCTATAACTCCTAGACCTGGGGACCACATTATGTAACTCCAGCCGGAAGTAAACAACAATTAACACCGGAAATTGATCACAGTGATTAATACTAATTACATATGGATGATGGTGGAGATGAAGATCCCCATCCTCACCAAGGAAACAAATGAAAGAACAAAATGCATGGAAATGAATATTTCAACAATTCCAAAAGAATAAGAAAATCCCTCATTTCTACGAACAACATTCGAGGGCAAGGTACCTTGATACTATTAAAACAGGCGGAAATACCTTGAACAAAAGAGCAAAAAGAAGTAAGCCCGCAAGGTCGAGCGGCAAACACTATCTTCTGTGCTCATTGATAAAGCATACCGTCAAGAACCAATCTCCCCAAGCCACAGGAATCAGCCGGAAACATTTTTGTTATCCCATATCAGCTTAGCATCCAACTTCAGTTTGGGGTAACAACGTCAGCGGCTAGGCAAACATCTCCTAAGAATTTTTTTTGGTGAAACAATAATGCATTAGTAGATGCTGCAATCAGCTAGAACATGGTTGCAGAAGTCTGCAAGATTATCAGCCTGCAAATGAGCAAGAACAAGAATACATATTAAAAGAATTCAGTAAAACCTACTACATATTTATGTAGCGTCGAAGGTAATTTATCTGCAACAAATCAGAGCACAATGTTCAACTAAGAAGACAGGATGTAAAAATCTAAATCCCCATTGTCATACCTCGTGTCTCCACATATTTGGACATCTAGTAAATCCATGTGTGGACATCAATGCCTTCCTTATGAAGTCGCTGGTGCTGTTCTTGAAGCCCTGGCACCCAACGCCTGGCGATCTGTTCCATATCCTCAGCCAACCACAAGTGCTGCAAATTGCCGAATCCATTAACACGCTCTAACTTTGGACAAGCCTGTGCACGCAGCTCCCTCACTTGTGGAAAACTCGATACCCTCTCCAGACCCTCACAGCCCATGATTTGTAGGGTCTCAGTGAGGAACAAAAGGCCATCTACCACCTTCAAGCAGCTTGTTCCTCCTAATTTGAGCTTCTTCAAACTTGTGGCCTCCTTTCCAAGCTTCCATGGGAGGGCTCTCAGCTTGGGGCAGCCATCGAGTCTCAGCTCCTTCAAACGAGGCAGCAGCTGCAGAAATGAAGATACGCCATCCCGATTTTGTATATCAACACCTCCATCATCTTCCCCTCCTATCCCTACTGTTGCATCATTTTCTCTTTCTTCAACAAAGCACCACTCTTCCCAGTTGGGCATATCTATTATGTCCAACATTTCAAGCTTGGGAAAAGCAACTACCCCCAAAGATCCGGGACTAGTCTCCCTGCAACCATGAAATTCAGGTCCAATCTTGTTTATTGCTGCTGCCCCCACAATTTTCAGATATCTCAGATTGGGTAGCTGCCCCATTGGTGGAAGATGCACGCATGATTTACATTTTGTGAGGTACAGCTGTTTCACTGAAGACAAATGGGAAGTACCAAGCCAGGCGGGATACCTCTGACCAAATAATCCTGTGATGTATAGGTCTTCAAGGTTGCGGGGAGGGATTAACCGAGCAAAGATCGTCTCAATATTGCTAATTTCTTCTTCTGAATATACTTCTGTTCGTTCAGTGCATTCTAGATTCAAAACTCTGAGATGCCTTTTGTCTTTTAGTATTTCACTGGTAGTGGTACTACAGGGAGCTGCTCTTTCCAATTTAATCATATGAAGCTGCCGCATCTGCAAAAGTGGAGCCAACTCTTCCAAGTTCCAACCATCTTGTGTTTTTGTATTATCATTTCCATTGCCAATGGGAAATCCTTCTAAATCATTAAGAAATTTTAATTTACCTATCCCGTTGGGAACCCGATCTATTGTTGTACCGCCAAGACCAAGGCGTCTTAATTTGCACAGCTGATTGATTTCCATAGGAAGGTTGCGCAAAGCATTACACCTCTGTAAATTCAGTATTTGTAGGTTTATGAGAAAACCTATGGTCTTTGGAAGATAAGTTATGATTGTCCCATCAAGATCAAGTAATCGTAGATGTATCAAACTTCCAATGCAATCTGGAATACTTTCTATAGATGAATCCGTCAGATCCAAAACTCGGATGGATGGAAGTCTCCTGAATATTGTATTTGCAATTCTTGGTGTCTTGCGAGAGCGAATCATCAATGTCCTTGCTCTAATAATATGCTCCTGACCCACATTGGAGAGCATTACAGAATCCTTGTCAGTAAAAGCTGAAATGCGTCGTCGATTGGACAAATCTTTAGCCTCCAATGACTGTAGGTCTCCAAAAAATATTTCTCTACCTGATAAATGTTGAGCAAGTTGCCTTAAAAGGTCATGTATTTTGCTCCACCTATGGTCATAAAATCTAGGGTCTGGTTGAAGGAGATTCCTGTGTATCAGCTCATAGTAATATTCTTCAGCTGTATCTTCCAGAAGTTGTTCTTGTCGTTTTTCTATAAAACCTTCGGCGACCCAAAACCTTACAAGATCTTCACGCAACATAAACTGATCTTCTGGATATAAGGCACAATACAGGAAACATTGCTTCAAATATCGTGGTAGATCATCATAACTCAAATACAAAGCACCTCTTAGCTCTGTAGGAACATTGCTCACAGACCAAGCACTTCTATCTATAAACTTTTTCCACTCGTTTTCAGTTTTCTCTTTTGTTGCTAGAACACTAGCAGTAACCTTGATAGCAAGAGGAATTCCACCACATTTCCTGACTATATCCAGCCCAATATCACGCAGATTATCGGGCACATCCCTTTCTTTAGTGTTAATACTCTTCCAGAGCAGCTCCAATCCCACGTCTATGGGCATCAACTTAACACGGTGCACATCTTCCACCCCAATTGCCCGTGTAACTGTATCATCTCTAGTAGTTACTAGAACCACCCCAGTAGCAGCAGCATCCAATGGGATTCTCAGTAGATCAGTCCACACATTAGACTGCCAAACATCATCCAACACAAGGAAGAAACTTTCCTCTTGAATGGCTGCTTTGAGTTTGCTACTAAGCTCCCCCTCATTTTCATCTGTGTCATAATGAACTCCGATACTTCTTAGCACCTCTTTCATAAGAATAACTTCATTATAATCTCGTCAAACACAAATCCACAAGTGTTTCTTGAAGTTCCCCTTTATTCTTTCATCATTGAATATTTTCTGAGCTAGTGTTGTCTTGCCAACTCCTCCAGTTCCAACAATTGCAAGTTTGTAAAACTTATTTTCCTTGTTTGCAAGCACCAACTCCACCAACTTCCTACTAGAATGATTGATCTCCTCCCCGACAAGGTTAGGTTCAACAAGGTTGGAACTCTTTCTTGATCTAGATATTGCTCTTTGACCAACAGGTGCCACATCAGAACGTGTTAGAAAACTTTGACCCAGCTTCGAGATATTCTCTATTCTGGTGTTGACCTTTCTGATTTTAACAGAAATGTTATGACGCTTCAGAATATCAGTAAAGCAAGATAAGAATGAAATGCCACTACATGCAGGTGTGTTTCTTGATGATGAAGGAATATCTTTAAGTAGCTTCCTTCCTTCAATTAGGTCGAAAATATCATCAGCCTCATCGATTGCATCCCGTAGCTCACCATGCCAGTTGTTAACTGCTAAATCTTCCATTCTCCTTTGCTCGGCATCCTGAAGATAGTATTGTATATGATGTATTGTTTGGTGTAGAATATCAAGATCGTCTTTCGCCCCTAGGATCATAATTGTCTCATCTGCTATGATATCTAGCAACCTATTGACACATGATCCAACGAGAGGAGTTAATACGACTGCCATCAGACGAACTTGATGAGGGAGATCCACCAGAAGTACCAAGCTAATTATTTGGGAGAATGGCAAACTTGCAGGACGGCAGGAACGACCTGTGTCAAGATGGTTTGAAAAGTGAACAAGGTTAACTAAGTTTATATTCTTGTGAATGAGGTCGTAAGATGGCTGCTTATTTGACATTTATATTTTTAATAAGTTCAGATACTAAATGTAGGAAACTGCAACAATTTGTAACATGTTAGTAGATGTCCAAAACATCAAACTACTTAGTTTTGAAGTAACACAAAACTAGAAATGTTTCAAAGTAAATATTTGCATATCCAGGTTGGAACTTCATTAAAAAAAGATGAACCACGGTTTGTGTTTGTGTCAAGGGCCTCGGTGCCCAAGACAGCAGGACCTCGACTACGTAGTTCGTAGTCGCGGTGGATAGGAGCGCTAGGGTTTTTGCCTGGCTGCTCTATGATGCGGGAGGGGAAGATAGAAGGAAATAACTTTATTGCTTATCCCTAAAGGGTGCTAACTATCTGATATATAAAGGCCCCATGGGCTAATAACAAACTAGAAACCTATACGAAATAAACTAGTCTAGGAACTAATGTGCCCGGATCAGGACTCCTGTCCAGCCTGCGCCTTGCCTGATGCGGCCGTCGGCTGCTCCTGGCCGCGCGGCCCACGTCTGTAAGACGTGCCCCACATGACATCTCTCCCCCCCTCGACGAGCAGCTCGTCCTCGAGCTGAAAAGCGGGGTAGCGCTCGACGAAACTGTCAAGATCCTCCCATGTAGCTGACGAAGCTGCTTCACCCTTCCAGTGGACGAGTAGCTGGCGAACGCCGCGTGCTAGGCGCGCACGAGTCACGCGCTCTGGTTCTGGAACAGCCGCCCCGTTGTGGATCGAAGGCAATCCCGGCGGTGTAGTTGGAGGAATGCCGAAGAACTTCTTGAGGAGGCCCACGTGGAACACGTCATGGAGGCGCGAGCGTGCCGGAAGCTCAAGACGGTATGCCACGTCGTTGATCACTTCTGAAATGCGGTACGGCCCATAGAATCGTGGCTTGAGCTTGCCCCTGGTTGGCAAGTTGAGAGAGGACGCGGCGCGCTGTCGAAGGCGAAGCCAAACCCAATCGCCCACCTCATGCCGAATGTCCCGATGACGTCTGTCGTAGTAGGACTTATAGACCGCCTGTGCCTGTCGTAGACGATAGCGGACGTCCTCGATAAGTTCGTCGCGCTCAGCCATGCTCCTGGCCACTGCAGCCACCCGTGTGTCGCCGGGCTCGTAAGAGCGAATAGTGGGAGGGTCACGGCCATACACAAGCTTGAACGGAGTCTCTTAGGTTGCTGTATGGTAGGCGGTGTTGTATATGTACTCAGCCCAGGGAAGCCACCGGAGCCACTGCTTGGGACGATCCCCGGTAAGACACCGTAAATACATCACAATGATCTTGTTAGCAGCCTCCGTTTGACCATCCGACTGCGGGTGAAATGCTGACGTCATGTGCAGCTTTGTCCCCGTGAGGCGCATGAGCTCTCGCCAAAAAGCGGAGGTGAAGACGGGGTCGCGGTCAGAGACCATGGACTGCGGCACGCCATGGAGACGAACAACCTCAGCGAAGAACACCTGTGCCACTGACTCTGCCGTGTATGGGTGGGCTAACGCCACAAAATGGCAATACTTGCTGAAGCGATCCACCACGGTGAGGATGACAGACTTCCCGCCTACTCGAGGAAGCGCTTCCACGAAGTCGATGCCGATGTCAGTCCACACGCCCGTGGGTACCGGCAGCGGCAGTAGCAGCCCAGCGGGGTGCAAGTGCTCGGACTTGTACCGCTGGCAAGTACCGCAAGTGCGGACGTACTCCTGCACCGTCTTGCGAAGGTTAGGTGCGTGGAAATCGCGGCGGAGACGATGCAATGTGCGCAGGACGCCTTCATGCCCATCATCGTGCACAGCACTGAGAATCTCCTGGAGTAGCGGGGATGACGGCGGAATGTAGAGGCGGCCGTTGAAAGTAACGAGGCCGTCGGAGAGCGCCCAAGGCTGTTGCCGCGCACCTGCCGTGATATCCTCCCGCAGTGTGACGAGCGCCGGATCAGTGGACGTCGCTTGCCGGAGGCGATTGATGAAGTCGAAACGAGGCCCTGAGACCGCCATGATCGTCGTCTCCTCCGTGTCACGGCGGGAAAGTGCATCCGCCACCGTGTTGGTACTACCTGCCTTGTACTCCACCGTAAAGTCGAATCCCAGGAGTTTGCCAACCCAATGATGCTGCGGGATGGTGGCCAAACGCTGGTCAAGCAGAAATTTGAGGCTGTAATGATCCGTTTTTACCACAAACTGACGCCCCCATAGGTACGGCCTCCAATGGCGAATCGCGAGCACCAGGCCGATGAGTTCCCGTTCATACGCTGCCAGGGAACGGTGACGTGGCGCGGCTGGCCGGCTAAAGAAAGCCACCGGGTGGTGGTCCTGAAGAAGGACGGCCCCGAAACCGTACGTCGATGCGTCACACTCGACGATGAACGGCCGTGTAAAATCCGGTAACGCGAGGACGGGAGCCGTGGTGATTGCCGTCTTGAGGGTGTTAAAAGCTGCTGCCGCCTCCGGCGACCAAGAGAAACCATCCTTGCGAAGGAGGGCCGTCAGGGGCGCGGCAACCACGCCAAAGTCCTTGACAAACTTGCGGTAGTACCCCGCAAGGCCGAGAAAGCCCCGAACCGCGCGCGCCGAGCGTGGTTGCGGCCAGTCCGCCACTGCCTGCACCTTTTCCGGATCCATGGCCACGCCTGCAGCGGAGATGGTGTGACCCAGGTATGCGATTGATTCAACGGCGAACGCGCATTTGGAGCGCTTGACGAAGAGCCGGTGCTGGTGCAGGACCGTGAAGACGGTGCGCACATGTCGGAGATGGTCAGCCCATGTCTCGCTGAAAATGAGGATGTCGTCAAAGAAGACGAGAACAAAACGGCGCAGGTATGGCCGCAGCAGATCATTCATGAGGGCCTGGAACGTGGCCGGCGCGTTGCAGAGTCCGAACGGCATCACCAGAAACTCGTAGAGGCCGTCATGAGTACGGAAAGCTGTCTTCAGGATGTCCTCCGCACGCATCCGCACCTGGTGGTAGCCGGAACGTAAATCGAGCTTGGTGAAGAAACGAGCGTGCCGTAGCTCGTCGAGGAGTTCGTCCACCACCGGAATCGGGAACGCATTCTTGACAGTAATGGCGTTCAGGGCGCGATAATCGATGCAGAAGCGCCAGGACCCGTCGGCCTTGCGGACCAGCAGTACCGGGGACGAGAATGCGGAACAACTCGCACGGATGATACCTTGGGCGAGCATGGCGGCGCACTGACGCTCCAGCTCGTCCTTGTGCGCGGCCGGGTATCGATACGGACGGACGGCCACCGGGGCGGAACCAGGTAGCAGGGTGATGCCGTGATCGCGGCTGCGGGGCGGTGGCACGCCGGAGGGGTCGGCGAAGATGCCGTTGAACTCGGTGATGATGGCGTCCAGGAAGTCGTGGCCGCTGCATGATTTTAGGGCTGGCCCGTCCGGTCCTGCAATGCCGTGCCAGCACACCCGATGGCCCCGCCGCCAGAATGTCATGGAGAGGGCTCGGAAATCCCACAGGATCGGTCCGAGCGACGCCAGCCACTGCGTGCCCAGGACGATGTCGTAGCCCGCGAGCGGCAAGGCGAGGAAATCCTCCGCGAACTCCTCGTGGCCGATGCGGAAGGGCACGACGCGGTACGCGCCCTGGCACGGAACGCGCTCGCCGTTGGCCACCGTGACGCGCATCTTCTCTGTGGTGGGGGGCGGTAACGTAGCACGAGCGGCCGCCTCTTCGGCGATGAAGTTGTGGGTGGAGCCTGAATCGATCAGGGCGAGGAGGGAGACACCTCCGAGAGTAATCTGCATCTGCATGGTTTCACTCGTGCGCACGCCGGCGATCGCGTGGAGCGAGATTTGAGGGTCGGCCCGCGATGCATCCTCAGTGGCGGAGGCCGCGTCGTCGTCGTCGTCGTCCGGCGCTAAGTCGAGGAGAAAGATGCGCTGGCACACGCGGTTGTGGCCCCTGCCAAACTTCTCGTTACAGTTGAAGCAAAGGCCCAGGCGACGGCGTTCCTCCATCTCTGTCTGGGAGAGACGCTTGATTGGGCGTCCGTCCGGCAGATTGTGGCCCTGCTGAGGTGCGGCTGGTGGGGCCGAAGCGGGGGGCGCGAGGCGTGGTCCTGGTGTCGGCAGGATGCCCTTCTGTGGAAAACGCACCGGTGGCGCGGCGGAAAGCGCGCACTGGTCGCGCAGCTCCAATTTGCGGGCGAGGCTCATGGCGACGGCGAGGGACTGTGGGTTATGGATCTCCACGTCGAGGCTGAGGGGTGGCTGGAGTCCCGCGGTGAAGATCTGCACTTTCTGTGTCTCGGATAAGGTGCCTGCCCGGGGAAGGAGTGCCTCAAACCGCTCCTGGAAGTCGACGACGGACGTCGTGCGTTTGCACGCCATTAGTTCGCCCAGCGGGTTAGCGCGCAGCGGTGGCCCGAAGCGGAGATTGAGCAGCTCGGAGAAGCGGCGCCACGGAGGTGTGCCCTCGTCGCGCTGGACCTGCATATACCATAGTTGGGCAGGACCCTCGAGATTGTAGGACGCCATCCACACCTTCTCCTCCTCGGCGATCCGTTGTTGATGGAAGAAGGACTCGCATCTGTTGATGAAGGCGAGCGGATCAGACTTGCCGTCGAACTTGGGGAAGTCCATCTTCTGGAACCTGGGCGGCCGATCATTGTGGTGCTGCCCATCATGGGCGGCGGCAGCGCTGGACGAAGAGGAGGACTTGTCCTTCTGGAGTGCGGTGACGGACGACTGCAGGGACGTCACCGTGGCCGTCAAGGCCTCGATCATCTTAGCCAGATCCGCGGTGGTCGGTTCTGCCATGCCGGAAGTGACCGAGGCGGCGGCGGATTGTGGCGATGTCGGGGAGCTGGGCGCGGACACAGGGGGGAAAG